TGTTTTATACCATATATTACTTGGTTTGCCTAACCACCAGTATAAATGTTATAGAGAGATACAAATGATTTTATCAATGTGGTCAAATATATCTTGTTCTACACTGGTGGCCATGTGGTATATTATAATTGACATATGGCTTAATATTCAGACATCTGCTTTTGATATTAACTAATTTGGGTGTTCATCCAGCTTTTCAATGAACTTGTACATGTCACTAAAATTTATTGAGCTGAGTTTCCATATAAAAATGGGGGGATAGTTAATGGAGAACCTACCTCACAGGGTTAGAGTCAAATGAAGCTAACATGTATAAAAGTGCTTTGTAAAAAACAATTTTCCAACTAAGTATCAGATGATGGAATATGAGAGAAAAGTGATTTTTAAAGTACATGTTTTAGACTGTCAGGAAGGGGGAAAAATCTTGGCAACTGTAAACTGAAAATATAATATTTAATTTAGAAATAGGAAATATTCCATAAATCTTTGTTTTAAAACTTTTTACTTTCTTCTACTTTGTGTGGTATGCATAGTGCTCTCATTGCAACATGTTTAGAAAGTTGTAAGAGGGAGACTGATCAAAAAATACATTAACAGATTTGGAAGGGGGTGGATATAAAGTTAGAATTTCTGAGTCATGAAAACATCAGATAGCACTTCCAGAAAGGTGTAACTTTATTTAAAACCGAGCTGCTGTGAATTCCATCATGCTGCAGACACCTCTGAATCAACAATCCCTGTTGGCAAATTGTTATGCTGACAAATTTCTCACATAGACTGAAAATTTCCATTTTGTAAACAAGTACGTGGGTTCTTGATGGTGTAGCTCATACCCCAAGCTGGAACTTTGAGAAGTGGATTCTTGGCTTGAGTGACCGTGTATCATTTATTTCTCACATTAGCAAAGGTGATTCAAATATTTGTCACCCAAATCAGAGAGCCACTAGGAGCATGAATGTAATATTATGTCTGATATTCCTCCTCAAGTTTGGGAAACATAAACACCACATCACTGGCTTCATTGGCTCCATTCCCTGAGATAGATAGAGTGGGATAGTGTTAATATTGCTTTCTTCATAATGCTAGGGACTCTACTTAAAACCGGCCCACCCACAATAGCACAAACACAAAACAGTGATCCATAATTTTCCTTGCCAGGATGTTTGATGTACACAAATGTGAGTATACATGCAGGCAAACACAGACTGGGTGATGGGTCTTCCTTCTGCTAGGTCAGAGTCAGTCACAGAAGCCTGGTTGTGTGGTTTTGATCAAGATCCCCATCACATAAGCATGAGGAATTGGACACGACACAGCTCGTGGCTGGAAGAAAAATCACCAGTAGTCACAGGAGAAGTAGGTGAGGTCTATTTGCACACTACAGACTGGAACAAAAAGTGCACATCTGTCACAAAAGATGACTTATATGCATACAGAAGGCATACAAGGGATAGCAGTATCCAAGAAGGGACATCAGACTGGGAAGTAGGAGATGCTGGGCCCAGATCCTGGATGCAGGGGAAATGAATGAGATACCAATGAAAGCTGAACATAGTGTCTGACACACAGGGCACGCTCCCTATACCTATGTTATCTGCCAACTGGGGATGGGTGAGAGAATGGAGAGGGCAATGCTGCTCATGGCACTAGCATGGTCCCAGGCCCATTGTTCATGTACTTTTGTCTTCCCATTTCTAGGTGCTTTCAATCCTCCAGCTCACTTCTAGGATGGCATGGATGTCCCTTTGGTCTCAGAAGGAAAAGAAAAAAAAAAAACAGGGACAGAGGAAAATGAGGACTTTGGAAGAGTCTAGTCCTATGTGAATATGTGGACATTGTCCTCTTATATCTAGAAAGCAGAAGTAATGACCAGCCTTTCATATCTGTAGACACAGGTCAGAGCAGCCATTGTCAAGTTTCCTGGAGATGTCAGCCAGAGCCAGACACAGGCAGAACTAGAAAAGTGAGCTGTTACATTGCAAAGAGCACTAGGGCAGGGCCATTAATACCTGGATCCTAGCTCTATCGTTAATTAGTTATGTGACCTTGCACTGTTTTGAGCCTTGGTTTTCTCATGCACAAAACATAATAGCACTTCCAATATTTGCTGAAAAGGAGAAATTGTTTGTGTTACATTTTAGCCTACAAAAATGAAGCAGGCAACACAATCAGGGCCAGCCTTCTATAGTTATGCTTCCCTCTCTCCTTTCTATCCAGTGAACCATCAATTAATTGATTCTTCAACTTGGGAAATCATAATAAAGCCTTACTACCATGGTAGATCCCTTCCCTTATGACATTTTCATGCAAAGAAATGAATCTCTCTAGCTTTAAGATATCAGAGCCTAACAAGAGACACAGTGAAAGAATATGGGGGTAGATTGTGTGTGAGGGAGAGGTGGGTGATCAGGCATCTTTAGCTGGAAACTTCCCTGATACCCCAAAGACAACAGGCTGCTCTACCTTCTAAGTCTGCCTGCACAGGCAGTCTTTCAAAGTACAGCCCCAGAGACAATACAATGTGAAATCCTCCCTCCTCTGCAGCCTTGGTCTGCAGTGACACTGGCAGATGCTAAACTTCCTCCTGTCTAGAACAGTTAATTAGGTTATAAAGGCTGCCAAAAATCCCAAAGTCATCTGAAGAAAATGCAACACTTTGAGATCTGAAACAAAGGTCAGAAGACACAAATATTAATCCCACTTTTAGAAGAGAGAAATAAGTGTGGGGATAGAGAAAAGAATTCAGGCAGGTCCTAAACAATCTGGCAACTTCTTATCAATCTTTTATAAACACTGTCCAGATCAGGCATAATGTGGTCCTAGCTCCTTTCCTCTGTAATAGATACTGTGTCTTCATAAAAGCTGATACTGTAATAGACACTATATATTCATAACTCATTCCAGAGCTCTCAGTCCATACCTATGGGACATCATGAGATCTCTAGATACCATTACTGCTGGAAAACAGACCCACCTGGGAATAATGAGTTTGGAATAGGGAAGAAGATAATTTGCTAAAATGAATTGATTGAATAAGTAGCTGACTATGTTCAGGGTTTCTTCATTAGTTGCATCAAATTATCACAAAGTAAGAACGGCTGTCTGTCCCCAGGTTCTCAGGCATAGAAAGGCAGCCTTAAAAACCTAGAGACCCAGTTCTTCCAAAGAGGTTACCCCAGAACGTGTGTTGGGTGTGGGTTGGGCTAACAAAATAAGCAGTAGTACATAGGACTTCACTGCCACCAGCAGGGCCCAGAGGAAGTGCAGGCCTGTAAGATGCCAGGGCCTGCCTAAAACAGGAGCCCTCAGGTGAGAAGCTAAAACGTGCAGCTGAGTTGTTGTTCCCCTCTACCCACCCACCCTGTCCCCAGTCTTGAAGATTTAACAAAAGCAGCTCTTTCTTTATAGAAGACAAGTGTTTCTGCCCAAGGCTCACAGTATGCAGGATTTCGAGGCCAGACTCCAATTGTTAAGGCTCCAAACACTTCCTTTTCTCTCCCACCACATCACAATCCCATTTTTATTATACAAGGCTTTCCTCCCTCTTCTAGTTCATGCATGATATCAGTGGGTACATTGTCCAGGGACCACTTTTGTATCTGGGTCTCTGTATATCTCATGTCACTTGGGACGTGGACCAGACCCCTCGCTGTCCACCTCCAGCCCAGACCAAAGGGCAGTCCGGTGTCTCCTGGATCAGAATCAGGTGCAGCGGACCTACCAGTTGTTCAGATCTGGGAAAGCAGCTGAAGCTCATACAGGAAACCGCGGCTTCAGGCCAACTCTGATTTCTCACACACTTGCCCAGTCTGCCACCACCTGCACTTTTACGTGCTCCAGGGCGGGGCGGCGGGATCCTGCGGCTCCCGGGAACCTGCAGCCGCCACACAGGCCCAAGCGCGCACTGGACGGCTCGGGCTTCCAGCATCCTTGCTGCTGACCGGCCTTAAAGCTGGTAGGCGAGCAGAACGGCCTGAGAAAGTGCCGCGGTGGGAGCAGGAAGAATCCCTGGGAGCAACTGAGGTCTCCGGAAAGGTCCCCGTGGAGATCCGCGCCCAGAAGGGGTCCGCGACCACGCGGCGAGGAGCACGTGAGCATCGCAGCTTGGCTATAAAATCCCCCGCTCGGAGGAGCGTCGGGAGCGCGTGCCGCGGCAAAACGCGGCCACCTGAGCCAGCAGAGTCAAGGGGAAGGCGATCCTCTCCAGGACGTCCAAAGGTCTAGAGATTTGGTGCTGCGGACCCTCGAGGTCTGGTCTCGGGTGCGTGCATCGAACTTTGATGCTGGGCTCCCTGTATTCCTGCAAAGGCGCACAGATGCCCGCACGCGTAGATTCCCGAAAATACCCAGGGTTCGTTTGACCTTTAGGAGAGTTGGAGGGGGAATAACAGGACTCTCTGGCTGATTGATTTCTTGCCCTCCAGCAAGGAGGCAGCCTCCAGTACTAGCGTTTGTCCTCGCAAGAGCTCAGGAGGCCTCTGGGGAGCCCCGAGACAGCGCGTCCAAGACCCGGCCACCTTTTAAACTGTAGTTATTTCTGCGCTGCGCAAAAGGCGAGTTCCGACCAACTCGGGACACCTTTCCCTAAAGTTTGATCTGTTCTCTTCGCCCGCCCAATCCTCGCCGCCTGGCGGCCCCCTCCTCCCACGGAGGGCGCGGGTGGGGAGATGGCCGCTGGCTCTCCCCAGCGCAAACGGGCGCTGTGAGCGTAGCCGCCGCCACGCTGACCTCCAGCTCCCGCCGGCTGCTAAGCTGAGTCCTGGCAGCGAGAGAAGGCAGTCGCCCGGAGGGGCTGAAGGCGGCGACGACTGGGGCTCTAGGGTCTATATGGCCGCTCCCTGCGGGCGGGTGGTGTTTGCCACGGAGCTCGCCCACAGCGCCTCGGGCTCAGAGCCGCTCTGAGCCTCGCCGCCTGCGGACATCGACAAAGCCGCTTCCCGGAGCCTCGGGCAGGAACCCGAGGAGCAGGAGGTGGTGGCGGCCGTTCCTCCCAGAGGGCGATGTGGCCGGCCGGCGCGGGCACCAAGCTGCCCTGTCCCCGCGACTCTGCACTCCGGCGGGCGGCTTTCTCCGGAAACCTCACGGCCCTGCCTTCTCACCTAGTGCCCGCGGGCCGAAGCGTCCGGGTTTTCATCAGCGCCAACCCTGAAGGTAAGACTCTAGTTCGGGTTTGTAGCTCAGTCTGTCTGCAGGTCCACAGGCGGTAACCAAAGAGTGTGCGGTTGCACAGCCTGGTGCACTGAGCGTCCCCTGAGCTCCCTTCCTCCAGCCAAAGCTGTGGCAGCCCTGAGCGCGTGGGAATTTAATTCGAATTTTTTTTTTTTATCCTTTCACTCATCAGCTCCTCTGAAGACTTCTCTTAGAACACCTTTACTTTTCCCCGGGTCGAGCTAAGAAACATCCGAGACATTAGGGGGTGCCTTCAACACCACCCCTTACCCCTTTCTTTTAGCGGTTTCTTCTCCGAGGTTATCGCAAACGCAAATAGTAGCTGTTCTGGCTCTGGGCTCCGCGGCGGGTTCCTGAATGGGGGCTTTGCCACTTGTCCTGGCCAAGGAGAGGTAGGGTTGAGATTACTGGAAACTCGACTCTTGCTATACCTTGAGGGGCCGAGTCGACCCTTGTGAAAGGAAGGGCCTTGGAGGAGGGGACTAGAGTTCTGGGGTCCCAGGGCGGCTGGCTCCCAGCCCAGCGCCGGTTTCACCGTGGAATTCTCGGGATAAACTCATCTCCTCTTTTGAGTGCCTGGGCTTGGTGTTCTCAGGTGGACCCCGGCCTACTCAGTCATGTTCCTGATCAAGACTAATACCTGGTAGATGCTCAGTGAAAACTTGTTGATTTATTGCGTTCTCAATCAGCGGTTTATTGCCGGGTGGTCAGATCCCTGCTCAACACTACCTTTCAGTTCTCAGTGTTGAATGTTAATTTTGGTTGCAGTGGTGGGGCGGGCGGGAAGGACGCATTTGACTGGGACTGGATAAAACTGAAGGAGTTGCTCTTTTTTTTAGGAGGAAAAAAGTTTGATTATAAAAAGAGTTATCTGGACTCGGGTATGAGAGATTTCAAGAATTTAACCTTTTTGAAGCCGGGCATGGTGGTTCACTGCTGTAATCCCAAGCTACTCAGGAGGCTGAAGCAGGAAACCCTGTCTCAAAAAGGTCTGGGGATGTAGCTCAGTGGTAAAGCGCACCTGGAGTCAATCCCCACCACCGCAAAAACTAGGGGGGGTGGGGGGGGTAACCTTTTATACTCTTCAGAAGCCTTGGGTCTTATAAAGTTAAAAAAAAAAAAAAAAGTTTGCATTCAAACTACTGTTGGATGGGATCCTCATTTGAAAGCTCAAGTCTCTGTTGTGAAAAACATCCAAAGAGGACCAAGAAAAGTAACTTTCTGGAAAATAATAGCGCCCCCCCCCCCCAATAAAAAAGCACTATTGGAAGTTTCAAGTAAACTCATAATAAAGGAATGGGAAAGAATCGCATTGGTAACACTCATAATAGACTGTATTCTTTTAAGGGAGGCTGTGATGTCCTTTCATCAGTTTACAACTTCCTCTCACAGAACTTGGGGCTTTTGGTACACTTAAGGAATCATTCTATGTCAAATAGGTCTTCCAGGATTTTTACCTACATCTGGATTAAATACCCATGAAGATATGCAGGCTGATTTAGGAAAACCTGCAAGTTGTTTTCAGAGTTTAAAAAAAAAAAAAAAAACATTTTTAGCAATATTTTAAAAGTGTTTGAGAGAATTATGTTAGAAAACATTTGTTCTTAAATTTTCAATTTTTCTTGAGCTTGAAAAAAATGTTTTTGTGGAGTGATTAAATCTGCTAATGTGAAGCCAGCCAAATCGTTGCATTTTTCTCTTAAACTGCTTCTAAAATAGTGAAAATTCTGTGAATACCAGTAGTTTTTTTGCTTAAAATATGAAATTTCTATGATTAAAATGATAATGGATTTGTATTGTTACATTAACTTTAAAAATTCAGTATTAAGCTTATTTTCCTTACCAGTCTTCTGATTCCTAGTTTCTTAAAATTAAAGCTTTAGCATACATCAATTCTAGGAAAGCAAACAGGAGGGATTACTGTTTTTTCTGGACAGCTTCAGTACTGATCGGAAAAGACCAAAAATGTGAAGCTTACCTGGGAAGTTTGAATAGGTGAAGGGCCTCACATTTTATCCACATAATCGAGCCAGGGGCATATTGAAGTAAAAAGACAGAGATGGGCATTTTTAATATTGTGAACATAAAGCCTTAAAATCTTTGTAAATGCTCCATCAGAGGCAGCACTTGCTGTAGGATCTTTATGGAAGCAATTTAGCAAGCAAGCAAATGGTTGTATATTGGTACGATCCAATATTAGATCCTTGGCCAATACTGAAGAGCCTCTCCCCTGTCAAATTAAGACAAAGGGCATTATCTCATGCTTCCCAATACAGGCAGAAATCCAATTTATGTTCTAAATAAAAGCTACTTTGTGTTGAAGCCACAGCAATACTTTCAGAATCAAGCAAGACTCTTCCTTAGATTGCTTTTAATAGATATTGCTTTACAAGGCTCATATAGAATTTCCCCATCTACAATGAAGGTGATACATGTCCTCGGAATGAAAAAATTAATTCCCGGTATAACAGCTCATTCAATATTTTAATTTTGATTTCTATCCTAAAACAGCCCTCTGAGTGTGGTGAACTTAGAGGTGTTTTCTCTGTCCTACAGATGACAAAACTAAGGCTGTATCAAGTCAAGCTGCTTTCCTGAATTAATATAGCAGGGTGAAATAGGGTAGAACCTGTAGAACCCTCAAAAACACCTGTCTTGGTGCTCTTTGGTCAGACCCTGTAAATATCTTACACCCACATGGGTAAGAGAACAAGCCAGATGTGGTGGATCAGTGCTGCCCAACATCTTCTGGCTGTCAGGCTGCAAGAGTATGAATAGCTGGAAAGGAACATGACTTCCTGACCGCATGTGCTCCCACTGAGAGGTAGCCATAGAGGCATTTAAGGAATTTTCAGAATGTGCTAAACTCTAATGGACATGTTCCTGTCCAAAAATATATTGGCATCTGACCAGTACTCACCACATGGAAGATGCTGAAGTCGGACCTGTGTGGGAGGCAATAGTATTTTCTCAGATTTGCTTAAATGGGTGGGCACTGGACTTCATCGAGTCCAACTTCCTATCCAACATGGGAATCCCATCGGTGGTACTTTTATTAATCCTTGGAGGTTATCTAGTCATTTAGCCACTTGCTGCCAGGATAGCACTTACACCTTCTTGGTGATATTAAATGATATTAAAATACATAAATTCTTTCATAGATAAAACTAAATTGTGAATGCAAACGGAGAAGAACTCTTCCTGTTGCTGGAGTTCTGAGGATCCTCCCCCCTTCCCTATCTCTATTCTAAGCTAATTTTGAGTAAACTGTTAACACGGAAGAAAAAGTAAAATATTTTGCTTTTTGCCTGATAAACACTGGTGCTGGTCCATAATCCCTTATCTGTGAAGCCCTAGGTCAGATATGATTTTGGAACCCCCCCTCTCTCTTTCTAAGGAAAATTCTCATATAATGTTTAAAATGTAGGGGCTGGGTTAGTATCCTAGATCAAATATGTCTGTAGGGAAACATGACTTCCCTGTGATCAGTGTTGTACAGAACATCCCATAATTCTAGAAATGCTTTTATTGATTTGATGGCATTAGTCACATGGCTATTATACGTTGACAGATATGACTAAGAATCTGAATATTGAATTTTAATTTTAATTAGTTTAAACTTGAATATGCATAGAACAACTAGTAGCCATCTATCAGTCAGCAAACCTCTAAGTGGATAAAGCTTGTAAGTGACTTCATGTCAGCTAAGGTCAGGTTTGGCTACCAGTTACTTCAGTGGCTTCAGGTTTTGCTGTCAGAAACCTCTCAAAGCTTTAGGGATTTTGGAATTACAGGTAAGTGGTATGGGCCTGCATTGAAGAGTGTGGTTTTAACTCCATGCCAGTGAGTTTACCAGTATTGAATCCCAGAATGACACAGAATCCCAGAAAACTTGGTCCTAGACTCTATCAGCAATGGTTAAGACACACACCATCTGCTCCTACCTGTGGACAGAGTCAGACCTTTTAGCTTCCAGATGTGGAGGAGCAAAGAAGAAAGGCAAGTTTCCTTGCACAACAGAAAGGCCTGAGCTATTGTGCTCAGATTTTCCTTTCACCTGCAGCCATCAGATGGAGTCACTTCTCCCCTGCGGAGTAGATGATGGCCTTGCCTGTCTGGTGCTCCTATACCAGCGCACCTTCCTGGCATCTGGAGAGAAAAATCCCCCAACATTTATCTTTATGCATTTTTCAGTCCACTCAGATTTCCGCATTCACATCTCTGAGAGTTATGCGCTCTAGTCCCCAGTATTGATGACCAGATGTTCAGCCTGTTCCACAAGTTTCTTTTGTTAGCTTGACTTTGCATCTCCCAGACTCTTTCCTTGCCCTGAGGTCTCATCAGGCTTGAACTCCATTTTGATGGAAGCCACAATGAAAATGACCTGTTTCCCCTTCATATGTATATGTGGATTTAGTGACTTCAACCAGCAGCCATTGGCTTCTGCTTAGGTTTCAGGTCTTTCTGCCTCTTGTCTAGGAATCTATCAGTATTCTTGCCTCTCCTAATATCATAATTATTTCCATGAGTCCCTGATTTTTTTTTTCATTGTCTTTGTAAGTATTCAAAAAAACAGCAAAATAATATATAGATATATATGTGTATTCACAGGGCCATTTTGATATCCCAAGAGTAGCTTTAAAAGTGGAATCATAAGAGAATATAACAAATTACTATTTATGGTAGGTGTGCATAGGACACTTACAATAAGTGAGTTCTAAAATTCTACTTGTTATATCTTTTAAGTCCTTAAGCAGACATTTACATAGGAGAAAGTATTAGACACAGGTGTAGGCTTTGGAACCAGTCTTCTTGGTTTTGATGCCTCGTGCCATTATTTAATGCAGTATTTCTTCAGCAAGTTGTTTAACCTCTTTGTTCTTGGGTTCCTGATTTGTGAAAGAGGACAATAGTAGCATCTGCCTCTCAGGGTAGTAAATAGATTCAGCTAATAGTTGTAAAATACTTAGAATAATGCTAGG